CCCCAAAACCCCAAAACCCCGATAGACTCAATTATTAAATTATAAGGTTAATAAAATAATAATTAAGATAAATATATCTCACTTATAGGGGATTAAAAATAATGCTATAAAGCTTTATTTTTCATAGTGAATATCAGTATTTTATAAATTACAAATCCAACAGCATTGAATCAGTTATTTACCTTTTTCTTTTATGATGGTGATTTCTTGACTGATCTTTAGGAAGTTAATTCAGCTTATTCCTAGCGGTATTATTATTAAAAACTGTATAATCTATCCCTACCATACCTACTACTTCTGCTTGAATTTAAATTGGACTGATCTGCGTTACTCAGGACAGATACTTTATTTAAAATCATAGGGTCAAGGCTTTTCTTTAGCGAATTATTTAAGCTCTAGCCTGTTGGATTTTATTCCCTATATCGATGTTGATTTGAATTAATCTCTAATTCTTAAGAATCTTGAACAATCACTTTCAACTTATCATTTTTATCATATCTTATCATAGTCGAGTATGTCTGGACCTATTGTTTATTTATTCCTTTTCCATCCTTTCCAAAAGATTTTTCAAGTGAATTATTTTTGTAATTTTTCTTTTCTGGCTTATCTTATTGGCTTTTAAGAATCTAAGTGGTTGATTCAAATTACTGTTTAGTGCTGTCCTCTAAATCACTTGGAATTATGAAATGAATTTATTTCTTATTCCTTTCTTGAGTTTCTAATCCATCGTTCAGACCACCTCTTTCAGTTTATTACTGGAAATACTTTACAAATGGGTTTACTTTACCATTAATCTTGAAACATTTTCCATACTTTCTGCATATTAGAATTACTTACTTGTTAATTGATTAGTAGAATGCATTAATCACATTAATACCCACATTCAAAATTAGGATTGAGGTAAAACCCCAACCAAAAATAAGAACTTAATCACCATCATTTTAGTAATATTAGATTAAAAAAAGGAAAGGTATTGAGATAAGCACACAACTCTCATTGAATATCTCAATGAAGTTATTGATTGCTAGCCTAAATGGACGAAATATAATCAAATACAAAAGCATCTACAAAGAATAATGTTAATACTTTAAGTTGGCTTACTGATAATTAGGAGACTAAAAATATTGAGAGTTAAGCATAAAAGCTGTAAGTAACAAAAACTAGCATATAAGCAATTATTGTTCTATGAGTCAAGAATGCTGGGTAATAGAGAATATTAGCCAAACTAGTCATTTTAATTTCTGAATAATAACTGTTGTATCTGCTCTTATAATATTGATACTTTGGACTGTGCTTAGGTAAATCTTTGTATTTAGTTGTCAGAAATATCCAAGAAAAAATTAAAAATCCAGTATAAATTATCCAAAAAATAATAGCAAATACTAGAGATACTATTTCAAAGTTGTTCATAGTTAGAGCCCCTTTTATTGTTATAAGGCAAGAGAAATAAACTGGGAGATAAGTTTCTATTCCAAATCTAATAAAGAGATTGTATTTGTAATTCAGGATTCTTTTCCAGAAAAATGTCTAAATACCAATTTCAAAAATACTAATTTAACTTACAGTTTTAGATCTAAAAATAAAGTGAAGGCAAGTTAATAGCATAAATGCTATCAAGAAAATACCCATGAAAATAAACAAATCAAATTGATTAAAGAAAAAATTTCTGCTCTCATAGTTAGTATCATCAAAATTTGGAAACAGTGGCTCTAATAACTTATTGAAAGTCATTCTTACCATAGGAGTATTTAGTGTTGAAGTACAAATCAAAGAAAGTTGATTTTGGAATAAAGTCGAATCTTGAAATGGTAAATCTGCCTATCATATCATGGACAAATAAAGGAGTATTGACTTAGGCTAGCGGCATAAACTCATAAAGCTAAACAGCATTAATAAGTGACCATAAAAAAGCAAGAGAGGCTCCTCTATTTAAATTAATTTATGAATTTTACTAAAGAATTTGTAGAAGGGTAGATATTCCCATTACTGTAGAAGTAGAGGATGTTACAGCCGTACCAGCTTCTTCTACAATTTATAAAGCCTGATTTACTAAACTTTTAACATAAGAGATATCTTACAAACTATTTAAGTCTTGGTTAACTAAGAGACTATTGGAATTGACAATTGATAATTAGTTGGCATTCTACTAAGTGTTCTTGTATTTCCTAGCAAATAAGGCTCAGTAAAATTTAGATATAGTACCTCATCACCCTATATTTTGAGAAAATTAAAGAATCTATAATATTTACCTAAATGTTTGATATGTCAGTAAACTTAAAAATTATAATCATGCATGTAGTATTAAAACTTAACAGAGTTAAATTATATTTGTAGTCTGAAGAACTACCTTGCATATACTAAATGTAATATTTTTACGAGTAAAATGAACTTATCAAATCATGATCTCTCACTAAATCAGAATTATTAAATCTTATCACAATTGTATTATTATTATCTACGCTTTCAACTTAAGGATATATTGAAGGCGATTAATCCAAGATGATAACCTTAACATTGATGTTTTTATTGAAGTTATTCACAATATTAAGATTGGGGTAATACTCTTATGCACTTGCTATCTCGTTGGTATTAAGATAAAATTTGACTTGATATTCACCAATTACTGAATCCATTTCAGAATAGTCAATATTAGTAGTATTTATAGTCAAAGTTTTCGTAGTTTAAGAAAATGCCATAAAATGTGGGAGGTCTAAAGCTTAGATTACAGGAGTGTCATAGTTTGAACCTCCATTTATGAAAGGGAAAGTATAGCTAGCAGAATAACTTGAATACAATCTAATGATACTAAGTTTCTAAGCAAAGTAAGGATTATCATACGCTCAATCTTAAATTGTAAGATTGAAATAAGCATTAGTAATTAATGAAGGGAATTATTTTGATGTAGCAGTAATATTTACTTTGTAACTCCCTATCTCTTTAATGGAATTAGGTGCTATTAAGATTGTCCTACTTTCTGAATTTAAAAATATGAATTGAATGTCATTAGATAGGCTATATTAGAAGTCGGTCTCACAAAATGTCTCATCTTTAAAGGCCATTTAAAAAGGATCAAAATTGAATGTGTATGATGTCGTTACTCTAACACTTATTTAGCTTGCTATATAAGTTTTGGACTCGCACTAAAAGAAATAGGAGTTAAATAAGGATTAATAGAACTTGATATACAATTTTTAAGAATAAATTTAAGTGAAATTTACATTTAATGAAGCAGCAAGAGTAAGTGTTAAACTCTTTAACAATAGTATAAGAATCAGTTTTATTTTCCAAAATATTACAAAATTTCTAAATAGCTTGTTTAAATTAATTCCGTTTAATCATTTAATATTTTAGTCCTCTTGAATAATGTTTGGAAATATCTCCATCAAATTTTTAGAATTGAAAATATTTTTAACCTTATGAATCTAGCTATTTTAATCTGTACTCTTGATTTTACTTTTCTAATTAAGATCTTATCTGAGTTCAAGCTAAGATTTAAAATTAACTTTTTGCTAATACTCAATTCTTTCTCCTAATTAAGTAAATTTTTGCTTAGATTAGAAAACTGAATCCATCTTGTGGCATTTTTTATGAAGTATGTTTTTTACTTAGGAATTCGTATCAGATTATACGAGTGTGTTTTTTATTATCTAAGTGCTATTTATTTTCATAGTTTAAATTTATATATAGATATTTAAAAAGTAATTAAATTTGACCTCTGAGGGGTTTTGGGGTTTTGGGGTTTTGGG